GTTGATGTTCATACAGCTTTTTCCATGGTGATGCCGCTCATCGTCAAACAGTATATCGTGAGCAACGGCCCTTAAACTGCAAGCTGTGGCCACCCTGCAAACATTTCTAGCACCTGGTACTCGGCAGGGTCCTGGCTGCCCAGGCAAAGCCAAGATACCAGCAAGACCAAGAACACAAATGCCTCAGACAATCAGACCGCCCGTCCAAGCCGGGGGGGGGGGGGGCAAAGGCAAGGTTCTTGCAATCCAAAGGGCTTTCGGCGCTTTCATGGCAATCAATCGCCGAATCGTGCACTCCACTTCATGAGGCTTCATGGCAGCTAGGGACAAAACTTTGGGCCGATTTGCTTTCAGGTAGGCAACTGCCATTTCTCTTTCCATGCTGAAGCTCGTGCCAATTGAAAAATTCCCCCAAAGCTGGCCCGTGCCTTCTCCACGCGCCAGGCCAAAGCGCGCATAGGCGGCGAGAGGAGGCATGTACCTGCCGGGCAGTGCTGAGGGGCTGCCTGATGTACAGGGCTACTAACCCGAGTCAAAGCAAATCTCTATTGCTTACTCAGTCACCTCAGCAGTACATTGTCACACTTGCCATAGGTTTGCAAATGCCATTGAAATTGCGCTTTGATGCTAACAAGCCACACTCCTTGGCGACCGGCGAGGTTTTGAGAAACTTGTCAGCCCATTTCATAGCATGATCCGTGTACTGGTCGATCGACATATTCTCTGGAGAGAGCTCTTTCAAGCAGAACTTCCAAAAGGGCTCCTGAAAAACCCAATTGTCAAAACCAAAACAAGCGTGGCATTCGATTCAAATTGATCAGTTGTGGGATCAGGTCCTCCAGTGAACTTGGGCGCCTCACGCGTGGCTGGATCACGCACTCAAAGGCGCCACGCACGGCCAGGTGAAAGCTCCTTTGCGGATTGGAGGCAGGCGCCCTGCGCCTGGCAAAAGTCTGCTTCGCTGCAGGCGGGGGGGGCGGGGTTTCTTTCTCCTCATCGGTTCCTTTGTTCTGGCTGGTGTTCTTTGGCTTTGGCGTGCGGGTGGACTCCTCATTGGGTTGCTTGTGGTCCTCTCCTCGGGCTTAGTCTTGGCAGCAGGCGCCTTTCGCTTGGAGCCTTTCTTGGGGGCAGGCTTGGATGCTGAGGCCGGCTCCTCCTGCTGCTCGGTATTGAGGTCGCTGTTTTTCATTGACTTGTCTGCGTCTTTGTCTTGTGACTTCCTGCCCTTGGGTTTCTCCTCAGCTGGCACTTGTTCATCCTTCTGCGCGCGCGCCTTTGCTTTTGCTTTTGCTGCTGCCTTCGTCTCTGCCTTTGCGGTTGCTGATTTTGCCTTGGCTTTTGCTTTTGCTTTTTGCTTTTGCTTTTGCTTTTGTGGCCGCTCGGGGTTTCTTGCTGGGAGGGGTTTCCTTCTCTGCGTCAGTCTCGGACTTTTCATCCCCATTTTCAGCACCATCCCCATCATTCTTGGCACCCTTCTTCCGCTTGAGACTGGCGGCCACCTCTAGCTGGCGGTCCCTGGTGATGTCGACCTGCAGGAATGGAAGAACTACAAGGTTCTGACAGTGCAAAGAAGCAGCACCGTCCCAGCAAACCAAATGATCAATTAATGCGTTGCAACCAATGAGGGCTGGCCCACAAAGCCCGGCCTCTTCCTCCAAAAGCTCGGCCACTTTGGTATTGGCTTGCTGCGCGTCTGTGCCGGCACTGGAGACCACCGTCTTCGCCGGCAGGGCTCCAAGAGACTCTGGGGTGGGGACGGGGCCTTGGACAAGCGCAGGCTCTGGGGCTGGAACGGACACGGATTCCTTCGGACCATCCGGTAAGGGCTCGGGAGGGTTGGTGGGCTGGGCTTCATCATCTTCACCCAAGATCAAAGTTCGAGACTTGTTGAACTGTTCTGGTTCATTGGTAGGAGGGTTCACAGTCTTCAGGCGATCTGCCTGTGTGCCCAAAGCATGGGCTGCATCCTCAGCCTCCATCTCGGTGTAGACAAGCGTGTCAAGCTCATTGGGGTTGACGTTGCCTGGGAAATAAAAACAGAAGGGCTTAGGATCATGCCCTCGGACTTCGGGTTCTGCACTTAACTTGTTTCAAGGAGCTTTTGGAGTAACTCATGGTCAACGGCTCTGGCTGTTTCTCAGGCTTGCCCGCCGCCAAAGCCACTTTGCGAGCATCCAGCTTTTTCCTGGGCTTGGGAAAGGCGACTGTTTAGTAAAGAGAGCCCGCAAAAGCCTTTTTTTATTGAGGCCAAGCGCTGAAGCAAAGCTATTTGTTCATCAATCTCGTGGATTTCCAACGGTGTCCCATCATGGTCGCCGCGTTCAGGTTGCGATGTCGGCGCTGGCTTTGCCGGCGAAGGGCTTGGTGTTTGCTGGGATCTTAGCATGCCACCCATGCGCACAGCGAGTGCCTCATCCGACTCCTCAAATTGGTCGGACTCCATGTCATCCTCCAGAGCTTGTTGCTCATCGCAATCATGCTCCGCTTGGCCTTCAGCATCATCCCCTACCGAATCATCCTCCAGATTGGATTGGGTTGGTTGTCGCGGTGGCCAGAACTGGCCCATGTAATCAAAGAGGCTCTGGACGTTGGGGTCCTGAGCGACAAGATTCGCACTCAAAACGAAACTTCCAAGGGGTGGTGTACCAACATGCCACACATCAGTGCTGAAAAGCTTCACGACGCTTGCTACCATCATGGCGGCGGATCATCAATGTAACAAAAGCCTTGATTGCGTGGCCCTCGCAGTGAACCAAGGCAAGATTATCTTGCAATTGCATCTTGCTCCTGAAGTTCTTGACCTGAAGGGAGTGAATTCAAAATCTTGTTCATCTTGTTGACTTGTGAAGAATTGACACATTGGGAACCCCTAGCCTCAAGCTTCACGAAGTCCACTGGAAGTGTTTTCTTGTTTCTGGCTTTGGGGCACCAAGTCTTCAATGCCTGTATCATTACCGGGACCTTCAGCTTCAGGGACTTCATGTTGCAAATGCCCACAGTCTTGGCCGATGTCCAGGTCAACAACGCCTGGGTGTCCAACGCGCGCCTCCGGACCTTGCCGCAGGACTCCCATGCATCGGCCAAGCCCTCTGGATTCCGTGGCTGGGCCATCTTTGCCAGAGTCACTGGCCATGATGACACTGATCAGTTTGAACTTGAAAATCACTGCGAAGAACCGGCATGCGTTGACAGAGCGTGTAGAAACTCAAGAGGCCGTGCGTGACAGAAAGAACCCTCGCAAAGCAAAGGCCGAGCCAGCCACGCAGGCCAGGTAGGCGCTCAGGACCCCAGGAGCCTCCAAAGTATGTGTGTTCATTGCTTCAAGGGTTCTGAATGGAAGAGCTAGGAAAGCTAGGTGGAACCCGGCCTCCAAGCTCACCCCAGCATGGTGGCATACTCCGGGCCTGGCAGCAATGGTGCGGGCAATGTTGAAAAATGATGTCAAGAAAATGGGACAGGCTTGCCTTTCATGGGACGGTCAGGTCTACTGCAGTCCCAAGTTGACACAACCTGCGCAAGGCAGTACTGGGGCAAAGCGTTGGCACTAACTAGGCCTTGTAACAGCTCTGAAGGTGTAGGTCTGTAGTCTCCTTACAGGTACCTGACCTGCGCCAAGTGAATTAGCCACGAAGAGGCAACTACGCAAAGACTTTGCTTGGCGGGCGCGAACTTGAGTTGCTTTGCTGGCAAAACACCAAGGTGATGACCAGAAGCCGGAGCAATCCATCCTGAACCAGACTGATCCTAGCAAATGCTCTTCAAAGTAAGCGAAGTCCAACCTCATAATCAGAGCAGCAGTGGTAGAAGAAAAAGGGTGTTGCCCGCTCCTTCTACCAAGTGCATTTTTTGTGACGGCTGCTGCCCTTTCAAAAAGTGGAGCACCCTCTTTGGCAGGTGCTTGACGTGGTCTATTTCCTGGCCCGGCAAGCGCCCATCTTGAGAATGTTGAACCAAGCAACTGTTGGTTGTCCAGTTGTGATAGAACTTCCACATCAAAAAGACAGCCCCATGTGACTGAAAATTGTCAACGATTGCCGCGACCTGCTCGAGGCTGAGAGAAACCTGAACGGTTAGGGGGCGCAGCTTGCATGCATGACATGCCGTTTCACCCTGATTTGTCGCGATGCGGAAAAGGCACTGACGGCCCCTTCTCTGGCCACAGAGCCAGCTGCACTTCATGGAACCACGGCAAAGGCATTTCATCGAGACCTGCCGGGTTCCCACAAAGGACAAAAGGAAAAGCCAGTTTTGAGGCTTAGACTCAGACTGCATGCTCTTGCGCTCTAGGATGGTGGCTTTGGGCGGGTCTCCTGAGCTTTGGGGTGGGGTAAAGTGTAGAAGCCCGGCCTTCTTTCATCAGAAGTTCCCGCACTTCCTGAGACCATGTTGAACTGGGAGGCGTCGACGCCATCTCTAGGTACCAAGGGAACGACTTGGGCCAAGCAGGCTTCCAGGGTGTTGCCTAATGACCAAACAGCAGGTGAACAGCAGGTGCTAGGCCGCGCAGAGCAATGCAAGGGGATGCAAGGCAGGTCACACCTGGTCAAAGAGCTGGTCCAGGATGAGCAGGGTCGAGCCAAATTGCTTCAGAAGAGCCGGGTCGCTTTTGAAAAAAACAGCCCGAAGGATGAATTTCAGTCGCCATCCAGAAAAGGCGCCTTTTCACCAAAAAAAGGCAGGAATTTCAGCCCTTAGGATTCTACAGGTATGTCATATATTGTGATATATAAGTCGTCTCTTGAGTTGGACTGGCAAAACTTTGCCTCTTTCTTTTTTTTTTGGGGGGGGGTCTGACAACCGGACAGTTCAGTCACTTTGCTGAACCGAACTCAGCGGGTACGGCATTGTTCGGTTGAGTTGGCAACCTTGAAAATTGTTTTTGTTGGAAGGTGTCTTCATCAGTTTCATCACAGCCCAACACGCTGGACTTGTCGGCTGAGTCAGTGGGTGCAAGAGTTTTTCGTTGCTTGTTTTGCAAACTCTTTGGTCAGTGCTTGTACATGTGGGCTCTGAAAATAGTGGGGATGCCCAACCTGGGCTTTAGGTTTCCCTGTCGTGTTTTGTTTGCCGCGCCTCAACGACTGACCCCCCCACCCCCACCCCCACCCCCACTCTCACCCCCACCCTTCACCCCCCCCCCACCACCCCCTGCCTGAGGGCTCCCCCTGGGTGGCCTTTGGTGGCTCCTACTCCGGCGCCCTGGCTGCCTGGGTGCGCCAGCTCTACCCCGAGGCGCGGTGGGACTTCTGGGGAAGGCCGCCCACGGCACACCGTTAACCCCCCCCCCCCCCCAGAAAGCCGCCCAGAACAAGAACTTAAACACCCCAAGCTCGTCACTTCAAGCGCCCAACAGCATCACGCCATACCACGCCGCCAACACAAAAAAAACGGAGGCAATCCAACAATGTCGTCTTCAACAACGAGCCGACCCGGAAAAACCTCCGGGTTTGCCCACCGTCCGGTCCTTTTTGGGCGGCCGCGGGTGGTTTCGGGGTCACGGGGTCCAGGCCTTTGCGGCGGCGGTTGCCTCCTCCGCGCCGGTGGAGGCCCAACTGAAGCTCAGACGGCACGAGCTCAGACTTGGCGCTTGCTTTCAGGGAGGGTTCCAGAGGGCTTTGTTCTGGAGGGTTGGAGGATTTTGGGACGGTTCTGGACAGCTCGATTTAGAAGGTTCCTGGATACCTCCTGAACTGATTTGTGTTCCAGAGCGTTTCAGGTGTTGTTGTTTTTTTTTCTGCTGCTTCAGAAGGTTCCAGGCTTTTGGGGTGCCCCCTGAGCTGATTTGTTGTTTGGGGGGTTGGGGCCAATGGATCAAACAACTCAGCGTCGATTTGATGGTCTGTTTACTCAAGCAAAAACCACCAGTCTCAAAAAATGGGTCGTGCAAAATTGGAAACCAAGCCAAACCGGTACCCGGTTCGGTCTTTAAAAGGACAAAACGCATAAGGGTGCAAGGTTTGGGCTGCAAGCCCCTTTCGGCGCCGAGTGTGCGGTTGAAAAACCCACATTGTGTTTCAGGCCACGTGGGACCGCGGTCGGGACATGTGCGCGGCGCCCTTTCAATCCTAGTTTGGTCTTTGGCCTTTCCGCCCCTAGTCTGTCTGTCTCACGGAACCCCATATCCTTCGCGCTCTCTGGAGCTAGTCATTCAATTGGAAAGCCAGGATTCCCGCTGGTTGCCCAGCGGATTCTGCCCCCCTCTTTTTCACTTTTGTTTTCTCGGGGAAGGGTTCCCCTTTAAAACTCAACCCAAAAAAGGATGCCTGTTTTTTTTTCTCATGGCCACGGGGCATCTGAGATTCCCATTTCTTGCGCTTTTCGGCAGGGAAACCCGGGGTGCCCGCTAGCCTTTTTCGGCTCGAAGCCGCGGACTCCAGATTCCTTTGGCCGCAGCAGACCTCTTGACCAGATGGATTCCTGGTCATTGTCCCTGTCGATTTCCAGGTCCCTGCAAGGGATCTTCGGCTGGCGCATGTCGAGCCTCACTTGCAGACAGCCTTTCCAGAAGCGTTTGTTTGTGTGCCGTGAGACGTGGCAAGCCGCAAGGTTGGTCACTTCCGTTCCAGGTTTGGTTAACACGGTGCCCATTTGCCACTATGGCAGGTAATCCGGGTCCGTCGCTCTCTTTGAAATTATACCTTCGGATCCGATGATTCAAATATTTGAACCCGGGCTGCAATACCCATCATTTGTCGCAGCTCAAACCAAAAACACAACTTGGTCCCGTTTGGTGCGTGGTTTCGTGGTTCCTCCTGGTCACCGTCAAACCGGCACTGCTTCGACAATACAATTGCGGCAGAACAAAGAGAACGCCAGTTAACTTGTGTCTATTTGGCATCGGATCCTTAGACTTTAACTCGTTGGTTGAACGAGCCGGGGTTTTCCAGATTGGACCCACACACACGCAAGTTATTCACTGACCAAGGTGAGCCCCTGCATGGGATCGGAGCGGTCCAGCAAAAGAATGAACTGAAGGCGAAGCTGTATCCAAGAAGCAGGCTTTGCAGAGTAACTAAAATAGGTTGTAAAATGGGTGGTGCACCTACCCCAATGGGATCTTATTGGTGTTGACCCACGTCGCAGAGGGGTGGTTGCAACCGCGTTCAACTGCAAGCTTTCAAATTTCAATCCGATGGCCTAAGGAGTGGACCTACGCCCAGGCCCACGCCGAGGCACAGCCTCGTGCTGGAGATCCCGCTAGGTGGGGCGGAGCGGGCGCCGGAACTTCGGGCGCCAACGGGTTGGGGGTTGGGGGGGGGGGGTAGGTGGGGTGGAAGGGGGGGGGGTAGGTGGGAGTAGTTTGCACTTGCACCAGTTCAGATGCAACCTGACGTTCGGGGGGTCCTGGAAGACTTTTCCTTTTGAAGGGACCAAAAAGGTCAGGTTCCTAATTGGTGGGGAGGGAAAGTGAGAATTCAAGTGGGGGCCAACTGCCAGGAGTAAGAGGTTTTGGAAGGCCCGTGTGGATGAGAAGTTCCTCTGCGAGACCCCTGAAACGCCAGGGCTTGAAAGCCGCTAAATCGCTTGTCACTTTTTGTGAGTTCAGGGAATTCGCAGTCTGGAGAATGAATCGGGAAGGCGGACTTCCCAGTGGCATAGCGGAAGGCATCGATTCGGCCGGCCCTCGAGCTGGAACATTCGAATCGGCCGCCAGTCATACCGATTCAGTTTCTAGAAACATGGGAAGACACTTTGCCAATCGTCCACCGAAGAAGAAGAAGATGCACGATCACGCCACTGCTCCATTGACTGTTAAGTCACAACGAGGAAACTCAGAAGCATCGGGGTTTGATGAGAACCCTAACATTGGTGGGAGTCTTTCGCTCTTCCAGTGACTAGGTGATTTTGCTAAGCACAGCGCAATTTTGAAAGTCAAGTGGAAGCAGCTTGACCTCGTTCGGTTTCCACTGTTTCCAAGCACGTAAAAGGAGACGTGGATGATGGTGGAGTCTTCAGCGAGAAGCTGCGTCAGTTGCTAAGCGGAGAGCCCCAGGTGCGGTTCGGGTGGATCGGCTGCGGCATGGAGCAATTGTTTGGCGCCCATTTTGGGTGTTTCCAATGAGTAGGCGCCGCCCTGACACGCACGCACGCACGCACGCACGCACGCACGCACGCACGCACGCGTGCGCGCGCGCGCGCGCACGCACACGCACACGCACACGCACACGCACACGCACACGCACACGCACACCCACACCCACACACACACGCACGCACACACGCACACACAGACACACAGACACACAGACACACAGACACACAGACACACAGACACACAGACACACACACACACACACACACACACACACACACACACACACGCACGCACGCACGCACGCACGCACGCACGCACGCACGCACGCACGCACGCACGCACGCACGCACGCACGCACGCCGGCACGCACGCACGCACGCACGCAC